CGCGTCAATGTAACCGCTCCTCTCGCATTTTTGACAAGACAATTTCAATTAAGCTGTAGACACGTTGAAATCCTGTATTGTTCTTTACAATATATAAAATGGAAAGCAAAAACGCTAATTTGTACTGCATTAAAACACTTACGTGAATTACGATGTTAGAAGTCCAAATGTAAACGTGTTTAGCGAAATAGAGGTTATAGTTTCACAAGTAAGACTACACAATTATACTTTCCGCAAGAACATTATTTTGCATAATCTGTTCCGTGGTCATCGAATATCTTACAATGTTGCATTAGAATTCTGCTGGTATGTATTTTAAGTAGAAAAGATAAGAAACACAAGCACTCCTAAAACGATCGTGTTGCCAGAGGTAAAGCAACTGACAAGACTCTGTTGCAACCTCTGCGGACGACCAATCGCAACGCTTAAACTGTTCCAGAAAGGAGACTAGCAAAAATGGCGCCAAGCTTAAGGAACCAACTAGATTACTGTTGCTTCGAAGTCACATTGTTTAAAATAATTTCTCGGGAAATATGTTAGCTATTTAAATCAATGAATAGAAAGTGCATAAATAACGATACAGATATTGTTTGTACAAGCGGACAGTATGAAGAATCAGTTATTCGATTTTTTTAATGATTCTGCGCGATTTCTAAATACTTGAAACGTACTTACTCATGGAAAAAGTGTTAGCAAATAAAGAATGAAGATTAGAAGTTGAAAATCGAAACGTCTGTTATTATTTATCCAAGGTAACTGCATAATATATTTCATATGTATTTTATATTTATAAATATGTTCGAATGTACCTGATGTAAACAAACTCTGCACATGCGAATGGCTTGCATCTGTGTATACTTACCAACACCTAAGGCAGATTCAAGGTAACTGCAAATCTCGATTGGTAGAATGCAATGACGACACGTGTTAGTTCACCAATAGGATGGAGTCTCAATTTAGCTAGCGTTTCCCTTGGCTGTGTTTGTATACACATGTAGTAAGAATCAAATGTAGTGAATGTACATTGTATGACAATCAAGACAATCTTTTAAAAAGCACCAACGTATTTAATGAACAAAGTATTATCAAAATAGTCAATATTTTGTAGTGTATCGTAAGTTTATTGATATGAGATATGACCTTGTTGTTCGTTAAGAAATGTTCTGTTCCTGGACAAAAGGGCAGATATATAGTATAGAAATTGGTTATGTGCAAGGTATTCTCAACAAGATTGAAGAGCACAAACAAATCTAAATGTATCAAGAGTGATTCTTGTAAGCATGAATGTTTAGTAACTTACTAACATTTAAATTTGGCAGCCACCATTGAAAAGTAATTGTATTTATTGCATTTATTATATGTAGGAACATTGAATCTTGACTTTACAGGTCACTTTGTATAGAGGAAAGTGAATTATATTTACTATATTAAAGTATAGTAAAAATCTGTAAATTTCAAATGTATGATTCATTACATATACATTGATTGTAACTAATAATAAACCATGGAAGAAGAAAACATACATAATTTAAATCATGCGTATAACGCATTGACTTCAAGCGCATTAAGGGAACATAATAATGGCATAGAGAATTGGAAGATCATATGTTTCTTGTATAAATATTATGATCTAGTATGTAGTGCAGAAATGATTCTCCAGAAACTAAATGAATGTAGTAACTTATATATAATTCAAGTTCAAATCAAAATGTGGTTTTATAGTAAATCACAATGTCCTGTACGCATGGATGATTATGACTTTCAGTATTTTATAGATGGATTGAAAGAAATGTTATTGACAACAGAAGAAAAGGCTGCAAATGAGGAAGAAATAGGTTCTGTAGACATTTCTGGTAGATTAGAGGAACCTATTTATTCAATGCAGATATGGAATTTTAAAATGCTTTTAGAACATTTCCCTAAATTAGTTCAAGAGGCTGAAGATATTTTTACAAGACTCAATCGAAATATGTTACCTCTACATTTGCAAGAAGATATTGCAGATTGGTTTTCTTTGAAAGAAGAATATGAATATTATATTTTCTCTAATAATAATCAGTGGTACGAGGAGACTACAAGACAGACTATGCAAACTGTGCAAAGAACTGGTGAAAGAAATAGGGAAACATTACGACAAAGCTCTCCTGATAAAGAGCAGAAAACAGCAGTAAAACATTTTGAGCAAGAAGGATGTAATAATTATAATAGTCAAAATGTAGAAAAATCAAGTAAAGTTGAAAAAGCCATAGGTTTGGGTAAGTATGTTAATGTAGAAGAGGATGAAACTGATGGAGATGAAGAAGAAGGAGATGAAAAAAATGACGAAGAAGAAGATGATAATGATGAAGAAAAAATAGATCCAGATTATTATGATACAGGTTCGGAGTCCCCTAATCAAAAATCATTGAGACGAATTAAAATTGAAAAGAATTCAGGTCTTAAACTTGTTAAAGTAGAGGAACACAGTTCTGCAAGTAATTGCTTGACATGTTCTGCATGTTTGGAAAGTAAAGTATCGGATGATAAAGGCGAAGGAGTAGAAGTAGAAGAAGAGGACACAGATGAAGATGAATTAAGGGAAGATGAAGAAGAACAAGAAGAAAATGATGATATTGATGATGAAGAAGAAGATGAAGATGACTATGTTACACGTTTAGATAATTCAGTTTTTCAAGAAAAATTAAATGAATATATGAAACAGTTTAAAATACAGACAGATGATATTATTAAAATAGAAACATATGATATTATTAAAGCAGGAAGTCATGACGATACGTCTGAGTCTATAGTAAAGCCTGTCGCAGTTAGACGTAGAAATTCTAGAAGAAACTCAATTCTTCCAGGATCTGAAATGTGTAATGAAATATTAGCTTTTAATAATAATTTGAAATCTAATCAAAACCAAATGATGAATAATAAAATACTAGAATTTCCTGGTAGTGAGATTGTACATGACTGTACTCCTGAACCAATTATGGAACAGAATCCCTCCAAAAGTAAAAATAATTCTACAGACTTGTTAATCGATGTTCTTGAAACAAAGAAATTACCAGAACCCATAAAAGAACTGAAAATTTTGATGTCAAATAATGATGCAAAGCAAACTCAGATGAAAAAGATTCAATTAAGTTTGGATGAGGCTCAAAAACATATGAAAGAGCTTAAATCAACTGCCAAGATTAGACTTTTCATGATGGAGGATTTAGCAAAGAATGAAAATACACTTGCTAAGGCCACAGCAAAATTCCAACATAAACGAACTGAATTAGAAAAAAGATGTTCTCAAACCGAATCAAAAATATCCGAAGTAAAATCAAGACCTGATTATGACTTCTTTTTCAAGAAACCTCTCCTAAAAAAGAAGATCGAATTGTATAGAAATAGAACTGTTTATTATAAAAATCGATTAAGGGACATAGCGATGATACATCAGACAGCACTTGAATCATTTAAGAACAGCACGAAAATTTGGCAGTCGCTGAATGCTTCTACAGAGGAAATGATCAATTTGAAAAGGCAGTTGATAACAGAAGTAGAACGGAAACAACAGTTAGAAGAAGAACTCGCAGAAGATCAGAAAAAAATTCACGAATTAGAAGAAAAGTACAATTTGACTGCTTCTAAATTAAAAGAGATACAATCAGACAGTGAGGATGCAAAAATTAATGATAAATTGAAAAGTAATTATCCCGATAAGAAAAAAAATTTATTAGATGTCAGTGCAAGAATAACACATCTTGATACTGTTTTAAAAGAAAAATCTATAGATTTGGAAAGGACCGCAGATATAGATGAGAAGGAAGCTCTACGTAACGAAATCCAAAACTTAAGACGAACCAGGGATTGTTTGGTTGATGAAAAATGTGATCTTGATGAGAAATTTCAGAAAGAGAAAGCCTTGTCGACTGTAGAAGAACGAAAATTATTAGAGTGTGGGGAAACTATCGAAGCTATCGATGCTATGATTGAACATAAGAATGAAATGATATGCGGTAGAAAAGGTTTCGACGAAAATCAAGCACAACGAGAGAAAGGAGAGAGAATGTTGATGGAGAGACTAGCGAAGTTATCGGAGGGGGAAATGAAAACATTATTTTATAAGTATTTCTTAAAAGTAATTGATTTAAAAGAAAGCTCGAAGAATCTTGAAGTACAAGTTGCCGAATTAGAAAGTCACATAGAAACTCAAAAATGGGAAATACAAACTCTTACTAATGCATTAAAACAGACAAAATTAGAAGCTGAAAGAAGAATCGTTTTAATGCAAAGGAAATATGAGCAGAAATTGCTTGCTATGTATAGACATATTGGAGAAGAAACAAGCAGTTCTGGACCTGAAACGTTAGACACGGATACTGAACTTGCTAGACATATAGAAGAAAATGAAAATTATCCATATCCAGTTAGGATACCACCACCAGCCAATGCAGTTCAAAGACCAACAACCAAAGTAACTAAAGAACGAAATAAATTGATTATTCAGAAAACTACTGGCCGTGATAAAAGACGAAAATAAGTCCTCCTGTATTCCTTTCATATTTATTATTTTTTATTATTGCTCTTAATCTTGTAGAACTCAAAATTATGTTAAGAGTTGCAATTTAATTTGTTGTAATAGTATGTTAATAATTCTGTACACTTTTGAATAATAAAAAACATGAATAAACATTTTCTGTATGATTAAATATGTGTACTTTCTTCCGTAATAGGATTAAGTAAAGTAACTCACTCGTAAAATATGGTACTGTAAAATAAAATTTGAAAGATTTCTAGTTTCTGCACCGTAGTAACAAATTTTTCGAGGTACACTGTCAAGTTGTTTCCGTAGTGTAGTGGTTATCACGTGTGCTTCACACGCACAAGGTCCCCGGTTCGATCCCGGGCGGAAACAAATTTATTTTTCTCCTTTTAATAATATATTTATTTTATTATTAAAAATATTGGCATGATCATGCTTAACTTATTTAAACTTTATCAATTTTTCTTATTTTTATTTTTAATCATTCGATAATTACAATAGTTCTAAATACATTTTATATGAAAGTGTATTATATAATAAAAGTGATAATTCTACAGGATATATTATAATATTTCATCAGAAAGTTGAATTGTGCTACAGAACAAAATAATTCACTTAATGTGTATATTGTATACAATATGATATATATTTCGGAAACTGTGCTTCAACTGTCAGGATGGCCGAGCGGTCTAAGGCGCCAGACTCAAGGCTATGGTATACCTTCTCAGTTCGTTGCTGAGTTTCTGGGCATTCTGGTCCTCATCTGAGGGCGTGGGTTCGAATCCCACTTCTGACAATTCTTTTTTATTTTGCCATTTACAAATAAAACAACTATTACAAATCACATTTTTTACACATTAATTCTTCTTAAAAGTTCTACAGCTTCTCGTGTGCACACCCAACCACCGTCTCGTGTTCGATTCCTGCCTTTCAATATTCTTTTTTCTAATATGAAATGTAGTAAATACTGTTTTTTTATTAATGTTTTTAGTATAAATAGTGAAAATTAATATGAAAAAATATGGTTTTAGTATAAATAGTAAAAACATTTAGAAAGGAAAAAGGTTCCAACATTGAAGATCGAGGTTCACTCACGCACGCGCGATATTCTTGGTATCAAAGATCCACACTGTTCGTAATGAAGCACTGAAACCCTAAAATTTCTTTTGACGTCGTTGAACCATTTATTCGTCGCTGCAGCTGCAAAAGTTTCACACACAGCACTCAATAGAGTTGTCTCGGTACTTGTTTCTTTACATCGTATCTTTTCCTTGCATAAACACAATAAAATATGGTTTCGTCTGTCTATCGCTATGCAATTACTGTCACTCTTATCGACATTCGCGGAAGTGTTTAAGGGATCCAACACGTGCAACACGGCGAAGTCTATAATTTCGGAAAACAGCTATGTAGTCACAATCGTTTATTCGCAATTTTCTCGAAAGGCACCGTAGAAGATTGAAAGGAAATAACCCCTGATAACGGGGCAGTATTGTACCAAGTCATAAGCTATCCAATGAGTTACACCTACACGACAGCGTGGCTCTTTATAGCATAGGGCACTTTATTTGTCCTGCAACCTGCAGAGAGACACGTTACGAATGGCTCCAAAGCCAACACATTCGTGGCTACAGTTATTCCGAAATTTACTGAATTTGGAAATTACTTGTTTAACGTAAGAGTTGTGTTAATAAACCATTCACTGTTAACTCGATTCTATTAACGGAAGAATAAGCTAAGAATGAAGTGCTTCTTCTGTCAGTACAGGTATTGTGGACTTTGGTGTATACACCCAAAAACTGCATCGATTCTACAATGCGGATATTTTATTTGGAAAATATCGATATTTGCGATTTTGTACGTATTCGCGATTACGCTCTTCGCATATGTCTGCTCGAATATAGACAATATGTCAGCTGCTACTGACAGTGGTTGTATTTGTGCTGGAATGGCGGTTGTAATTTTCAAAGCGATGATTTATCAGTTTAACCGCGAGTTCATAAAGCGATTAATAATAGAAGTATTAAAGTGCGCCGATGATCTCGTCGAGTTTTCCAGTAAGTTATATGTAACACTAATCTTGGATGTGTATCACTTTGCACGCAACGAACTCGCAAACATTTCATATAACGCAATTCTAAATATCCCGAATAACATGGAAATTAATATTCCAGAATCTAGTTGGTTAATCAATGTTATCTACAAGTCTTTATTTTTAGATGTCGATCACGTTAGAGATATCGTCAAAAGGCATTACCTATTCAACAGAACGATAGTGTATGGATTTAACTTATTAGGGTCTGGCTTAGTAATAGCTCTATTACTTTTTTCGCCGATGGAGGATGGTTTACCTATCAGAGCAAAGTATCCCTTCAACACAACGATACCACCTTGGCACGCGATTGCTCTTACCATAGAAGTTGTTGCCGTTTCTGGCGGTGTACTAGCGATACTTTCCGTCGAAAGTATTACGCTGCTAATCAGTAATTTAATCACTATGCAATTTGATGTTTTGAACGTAAATTTTGAGAATTGTGGGAGACAAGCAGTGAACGATGTAAGGAAAGAGTGTGTACTGAAGTGTAAACTTATCGAAAAATATCAATATATTTATTCATCATTATAGACTAACAGAGTTTACAAAGAACGGAGCATCGAAAGAGAACCGAGCTATACTTTCTTGAGTCGTTACAAGACCTGCCTCCGATTCCATCAGCGATTGATGTCTATGGCCAGTGATTACAATAAAATCTATAGCTTGAGTGTACTCTTTCAGATGTGCTCGAGCACCTCGATTATTTGCTTGACTGGTTTCCAGGCTGTCGTGGTAAGGCATGATTGGTTGAGTACGCTGGCCAGATCGTGATCGATTTGCATCATTTGGAACAGGTCGGAGGGCAGAACTCGGACATTATAAAGTTCGGGGTATATCTGAGCGCCGCCATATCTCAGCTCTTCTACATCTGTTGGGTGGGAAATGAACTGACCTATTCGGTGAGGGTTAATCAGAATAGCATAGATTAATTATGCTGCATGCTGTAATAAATTGGCGACCGTTTTTCCTGAAAACGGTGAATCTTAACGCATGAATCATTGCTCAGTGCTCCGTGCTAGACAGAAGTCAATGGCTCTCGAATTGGCATCAAGAGAATTTTCGTGATATCGTACAAGTGTTCACATCATCGACGATGTTTGTAAGACACTCTATATATCTGAAAGCTGGTCCATTCTATGTGCTGTCTTTGCAAACATTTATGGCGGTACTATGCGTAACGACTCCTTTTATTTCACCATACATTATTAAACAGTTTAATCGTGCCTCACTTGTAAATATTTTTCAGATCATTCGGACTTCTTATTCGGCGTTCGCGTTACTAAACACCATGCAGACAACGGATTCTTAATCTACAACGTCCTATTCCTTTTTTTTGTACGCCTTGCATATATTTACTGTTGTAGCAGGTATGAATGAACTTTTAGTCTTTAAACATTAGCTTACGTTCATTTTCGAAATACCGTATATGCTCTAGATGTCTTTAATACGACAGGCGAACGGAGAACCTAAAGGGTAATATATAATAGTTACGCAGGCAATTGCAGAAAAGAGGATTTAAAATGTTAGTGCTGTCGGGAACCTGTTCCGTAATCGCGCTTACGGTAATTTCAGCTAACGTCGGGTTAGCATCCTCGAAAATTATGGTCGGAAGAACTTTCGCCTTATCTATTAAATATTTATCGATTCGTTCTATTCGTACTCGGTAATACGCATCAAATAGTAACTGTGATACCTACAATTTTCACTTTATTAGATAAAATAATCAAAGTGGATTCAAAGTGTCCATAAGGAACATATCTCGTAGAATCGGGAACTTCTTATCCGACTGAATTAGTTAATTAACTGTAACATTGGCTGTTCCGAGCATTTGTATGCAATCGTTACACCGCTAATTTACGATTAAACATAAATGTCGCCGTGTATCGAGTAAGCACCGAGAAGATCGAAGCTCAGCCTCGTGCCGCTCAAATAATCTTTGCGAACATGAGTGAAATTTAAATAACCATAATTATATTTTTATTGATCTGCCTTTTATTACTTTTTCACCAGCATATTTCCAATTCAAAACAGTTTGAAGTACAAAAAGCTTTTACTCTATTCCCAATATCTTTGGATACTTTGGGATATTCCAAGAATTTCGATTAATTAACATTATTAATCTATTCAGTCGTTTAATACTCTGTTGTCAGTAATGGTCAATAGTGATCACTTTTTGGTCCACGGTAGTGTTACAAAAATGAATCCTGATCTTCGGGCCTTGAAAGCACTCAAAGCTCAAACCTTAAGCTCTAAAAGCTGAAGTTCTTAATGCTTGAATCTTAGTAACTGCTGGCTCGGTTTTTCAAGCATAAAGACTCGAACGTTGAAGACTCTTAAGACTCAGATCGAGCTTCCTAATCTTCAAAATTCAGCTTCAAAGACTCCAGCTTCATGGAACTGTGACGCTTCAATGAATTCGAACGTTTTACAGCAGTGCTGTATGATTCGTTCGTCTATATCATTTGTGTTCTTGCGTGAAAAGTTTACAAGTTGATTTAATGCAGAAAAGGAGCGAGGGTACGAAAACGACATCATTACGACGAGCCATGCTTCCGAAGCAGATGGTCGCTTTAGCGCATCTTAGATAACTGTAGATCTCTCTAGAGCACTATTTCTGCCGTCGGTGTCACACGTTTCCTCATGAATCCTCGCGTGTCTCATTGTTGCCGATATATCTGTGTATCTTTTGCAGTTCATTCTCTCTAAAATGAAAGACACTGTAAGACGTTACTACCGTGTAAAGGTAATGTAAGAGTTTGTATACAGGAATAACGCGATGGCAAGTTTATGTTTCCTTAACCGGTAGATTTATTACATTAAAAGCTGATTAATATGACAGATTGTTTTAAATTAAATTCATCGTATGCTGTAAGCAACGCTGTGGAACAGCTTCGAAAAGGATCTACGGCGGTGGTGCGGTAGAGCTAGCGTTCCAGTCTTTCGTGAGCAGGTTTAAAAGAGTGAACAAAAATGACGTATAGCCTGAACGTAATGAAATTTATGAGCAACAAGATCCCTGCAGGTCGCTGTCATATTTTCGAAATTTTTCGGTGAAACTTAATAAATTTATGCGGGTACGTTGGAGGAGAAGTGTGACGATATTGGTTACCTGTAATTCGGTCGACAAAACAGACAGTGATAAATTATGCCAACGATGTGCGTGCGATGAATCATAAAAATAAGCGACAAGGATATTAAACTTTATACAGGTAATTTTGTAAGATTATTAATTAAAAAATTCTTTTTAAACGCTGCTTCCTTTTGGGAGGCGGAGTATCCGAAAATAGAGCAAAGATCAAGAACCGATGTTTACCGAAGGAGTTTAATCACGCACGCGATACACGTGAGAAGCGTTCCGCAATATTAGAGGTAGAGATTTAATCGAAGGATTCGCGTTTATTAAAATTCCAAAGTGTTACGTACGAAAGCCGTGTGACTACAAGGGTTCGGATGTTCCTTCTTGAAGGAATCCGGAGCCGCGATTATCACTGTTACGCCGGAAGAACTTTCAACGAGCAGAAGAACACCATGCGATTACCTTTTCATTATCTTCCGGGTGGTCAGATCAAATATTTTCAGCAAGTACCCGAGCATAACACTGGCGAAGCGAGTTAAAACAGAATATTTGATCGTGCGGCTGATACCGGTCCCAATCTGCCGATGCGATCTACCCGGGAATGTCCTAAAAGTAGCGCTCATTGCGTAAAATATTGGTAAAGGTAGACCGACTCTTTCGGTGAACGTACGAGTTTTTCAAATAACAAGAAACCACACATACTTATTTCGAAAGCTTACTGCTCGCTGCATTGATTTGCGCAGGCATTATCGCTTGGAAGATCTTTTCCGATATTATTCACTGACCGTATCAGTGCTCGATAAACTTTGGAGTTTCTTATCATTCGAGGAGCCTAATTAAGTTAGTCCTAAAACAGGTGTCCGATCTTTTCTTTCCCCTTCTGTATTCTCACGATCGTTTTTTACTTGTTCCAATGTTCGGAACAGGTAGAAGTCGATAAATCGATAAAACGTTCTCAGCTAAGAGTTAGCAGTTTCCGACACTTAAAATACAACGACAGTTAACCGCCACTTGGTTTGTTTCAGAGTATAAATAATCGTCACTTAATCATCGGAGATTGCCGTAAATATTGATTACGTTGTACCGACCCGCGGCGCCAAAGGAAATCATGTAGATCGTGTTCATTAAAAATTTATCGCCGTTGGTAGTTTATTGGATTCTTCATCGGGGCCTGGAAAATTGTAGTGGTTGCTCACGCACACGATGCAGTTTATGCGGTCTTCGACATCGCGGCAACGGTTCGCTTCTTAAAATGTTTCGTTGATCAATCCTCGCTGAGAATGTCAATTAACGAGCTACCTGAATCTCGCCTTTCGTTTCGCACCGACGGGCATTATCACCCTTTCCGCCTTTCATCGCGCGATGATCGAAGCAACGTTGAAACACCGGCCTCATACGGTTAAACGCTCGTTACGCTTTGATCACCGTTTCGTGGCGCTTTACAATTGCGAAACGTTCTCGGTCTCCGAATCTATTGCACCTCGTAAAAAAGAATTGCTCGCGGTTATCGAGCCAGGCCGTCGATAAAACGCAAATAAAGCTACGATCTTTCGGTGCGGCGACGTATAAATTTCGCGTTTCCGTCCGTCGCGTTACTGTGAACGGTATCGCAATTCTCGACGGTTTCGCAGAATTCGTTCCCTAGGCGGTATGCCCGACGCGCGAAACGGAATGTGAAACGACGTTCCGCGTAGTTTGCTCACGGTTCGATCTGATTATGATAGCCTTTGATAATTCGCGATCCAGAAACTAGAAACTGAGAAGACCTGTTGCGTGCTCGAGCGGGCGCGTGGTCGTCCGTGAACGACATTGTCGATCGTGAAAAGCGCCGTTTCCCGACCCGGCGTGGCACGACTTGACGCTTTCAATCGCGTGACAGTCGTCCCCGTTTCCAGATTTCTGTCTGGTAGATAAGTATCGCTGATGCTTGCACTATGTGGCGTACCTCGGGGCGCGGCCGACACATTGGCTTCGCCTCTAAATTGCCCTATATACTTCAATATTTACGAGACGTACGACGTTCGTCGGGTACAGTTTTGAAAAAGTGGCGCTTCGAATGACTGAAGTGTAATCGGCGGAACGTTTATTTTGTGGGACGCTGATGGTAACCACGACGAGTTGGGGACGGATTACGACCAATGGTTTCTAAAGCGCATGTCTAAACGGGGACAAAAATGCGGGAACAACGGTGACACTATCAGTCTAGTGTGAATGAAACTTATTAATGTTTTGCTACGCAAAGATAAGCTACTAACGGGTATGTGATCGATGCGTGTTATTTGATGATGCTAACGTCGCGTGTTCAATCGTTTGTGACGAGTGCTGCGTATAGAATTTTTGTGAAATGTGTCCACACAACGCGAAGATACCTTGTCGTTATTTGTCAATGTCAAAATCACATTAATTATAACTGATAGAGTCGTTTTAGAATCGGCTAAGAACACGTGGCTCTTTTACCAACGTTAGATTCATATTTCATGTCCCGAACACTCCTATGGTTCGATCAAAGTTCGGTTTCTAATAGCACGTAATTTTATTTATCTCTTGGTTCGGAAATCGAGGTTGCCTGAAATAGGACACGGCTTATAATGTTTATTAGCAATCCATTCTATTCAACTGTAAATGAAAAGCTACGGAAATTGCAGCGCGATCTTCGCCTCTTGTTCTGCAACGGTAGCAGGGAGGTCAGTCGCACATTATTTTTCGCCGATGACAGTACGATACGTCGCGCGATGGTTCCATGAAATGTTCGATGTACAAAAAAACGAGGAATTAACAAGGATAGAATACATCGACGTTTAGAAACGCAAATGAAAACGATCGAGGTATTAGGGAAGCGAACAAAATCGAAAGTCCTCACCTGAGCTCGGAAAAGTCTAGAAGGCAACGGTGAAACTTGCAGCGTGAACCACGCAAACGATGGAGTTCGAACCGATTGTTCGGAAGTGCAACAGATTTTTCGGAACGGTCGAAGCGCGTAACTGTAAAACTTTGTCTAACATTCGAACCGCGTTGAGGTGGTCACTGAACGGCGCCATCTGGTAACGCGCGCGCGCGTGCGACCAAAGGAGAAAGAAGTTCGCCAGGGGATCGAGACGCAGGATCTAAAGAGGGACGTGGAATCACGAGGTAAAGACGAACTCGGACGGTGCCGGAGGAAAGGAGACGGAGCAAGATCATCGTAGCTTCGCTTGCGCTCTCAGGCACAAACTACCCGACCACCAAGCAGCACGGATTCGAAACTCTACCTTGCGTTGCGCTTCTCGCCGCTCGTTTCTTAGAACACGTTCTCCTCGCGTCACAGAATACGACCCGCGACAGCCCTGCGCCCTATCCCGATAATTGACCATTTGTTTTTCTAATCGGGATACAACGAACCCGCGGTCCCGAACACGCGACGCCGGGTTCACGTGCAGCATCAAGGACGCCGATCGGCAATCTCTTCTTGAACGGTACCGGTCGCGATCGATACGATTCTTGCGATTGCATCAGCGGTCACATGCACGACCGCGAACCTCGATGATCAGGCTATCGCAGCGTGATCTAAATTCTGCGCTGTCTTCGGGTACCCGTTAGAATATTTCGATCGCTGCGGATTGGTTGGCTTCCGAGGATTCGACGGATGGTAGTGTTTCCCGCGTCGCGTAAAATTACGACGCGCGGCGTCAGTTTACTCCGGCGAGATACTTTCGACACAGTTCGCTCCGAGGATTTTCGATGAGGAGTCGCTTGATCGATACCGGGATACGAGGAGAGGCTGTTGCGCGATCGAGCGCATCCGGCGTCACGCGTGACACGAACATGGACAGTTCGGATGAAAAGTGGTGGTAAATACTGTGAATAAGAGGGAAGCGGAAACACCGAGAGAAATGATGCTGGAAGGCTGTGGAATTAAGAGGATCCTCTGAACGAGCGGAACAAGTACTGCTGCACCGCTAACGAACACCTTGCACGTGCTGCGAATATCATCGATCATCGATCCGCGTCGATCGCCGTGGCCGATTGGATTCACCGACTGCCTCGTCGAATTCGGTTGAAATTTCACAGGTATGTTGGTTTCTTTTATTTCCTCGCATAGGGCGCAATTCTCGAACATCGCAGGCTATTCTTTTATTCGACGAAACGGTATTTCGCGTGCATTCGGAAATCGTCATCGCAACTAAAATCGTCGGTCCTTCGAAGAATCGAAAATCGCTTACGCTATCTATTACACTTTCGTTGTATTCCGGTGTCGATGGTTTTTCCAATTAAGGTTTAACAACTTTCGTCGTTACCGAAATTGGCTGGGTGATTATTCTTGGTCAATTAACGAACGCTCATTAATCATCGTTCTGTAATCCACCAGACGGAACATGTTTCTTTGCAGTATCCTGAAGCGAGCGACTGTACAAAAAAAAAAGAAAAAATAACGATATCACATGTTTTTTGTTACGATGAATCCGCATCGGTTTACCAGTCGTAAATAGCCGAACTTAATCATTAATCTCGATCTACCCGATCGTCGGGTGAGACGAATGGCCGTCGATGAGGCGGTACGCTCGCAGCTATTGGTACAACTATATAAATCGGCTAGTCACGTCGGGAACGAGAGAAAAGTAAAACTGTGACATTCCATCGCATTCGAAGAAGTCTACTGTTTGAATAAACACGTCTAACTGGGTGGTGAACGGGCTCCCGAACCTCGTCTCGCCCGAGTGATTTGCATCTGTTACGTTTGCCCAGCCAATCGTATCGTCTTACCGATTAATTAGGCAGACCACCTGCCTACTAAATCATACTCGAAGGCAATAAAACTATCTACCGTCTCCCTGGTACACGGCGAACACTTGACAAATTTCTAATCCCATGTTTTAAACGCTGAAGCGTCTCATAAAACACCATCGCTCCCGACCGGCCGGCCGGCCGGTTTCTTGATTTTCGCGGTTCATTCGAGAAATTGACAAAGTTGGAGGTTTTCTCCAAGAATCGTGGCCCAAGAATCATCGTTACCACTCTCTGTTCTAATTGGATATCGGTCTATGAGACAATCGTTCTCGAGCGACGCGAGGATAAAATAGGCCGACTCGGCGCTCCTAAGATTAACGATTCGACGCAACAGCGAGCGGCGATCGCAGCGTTGTCCCATTAATCGCATTGCCAATCTCGGGACGTTAATAGAATTTCGCTTTGTTCGTTTCTCGCGTATCGATCTGCCGATCGTACAACGATCTTGTCTCCGTGCGATGTCCAATTAGCTCGCATCCGTACGCGACCGGGCCGGTCGCAGTTACGTTCGCACGGCGGCCGGTTGTTTGATTTTCGTTTAATTAAACGCGCGGCTTATAAAAAAAATCCCAGATGACAGCGGTATAAAAACGCCGCGGCTGTGTCCGGCGGACGCGCTGCGATCGGACGGCCGAGCACCGAGGAGATACGGCCCGGCAGATACGATCTCCATGGTGTAGTGCGGCGCGGAGCGGTGTACAGAAGCGACCTTGCAAGGCCACGTAGAAGCCGACTCGCGGCACACACACCCACTTTACACCCGTCAAATAAAAGCAGAGGGACAAGCTAGTCGCGAGAGCGTGCTAGAAACTGTCTGCCGATCTCTGCTAGTAAGCGAGTTCTCTCTCGCTAGACGGGTTCTGGTCTTGTGCTGCTGTGCGCCGCTTCACGCCGCGCCAACGCCGTTCATTCAAGCTGCCACGCCTCTCTTCGATGCTCCAATTCCCGTCCGCCGCTCCGTTCATCTCTTTCTCTCTCCTCTTTCCCCGATCCTTCTCTCGCGATCTCCTCGTCCACGTTTCCCCGTACTCATCCGCAATCGAATCAGCCCCTTACCGGTCTTCCGTCCGCCAAAAAATTGGATTAAGTCGAACACGAGATCGCTAAACCGTTAATTCACGACGCTTCCACCCCTCCTCGATGGTAACCCGCTACACGACATTTTCTGCGTTTTTATCGGCCATGAAATTCGCCGGGACGAAACGCGGAAGAGCGTTCGACGAGCGTGATGCGGCCGGACAGCATCGAACTCGTCGCGTCCCGCGGGAACGGATTACGACGGGGTTCGACCGCGCGCGATTAATCAATTGTCTGGATGATGCGACGTCTAACAACCCGCAATCAAACGTTGCTTAAGCTACCTCCGCGTCGGGGAGAATCGTTTTAATTATCGTCCGGGGACCAGATGGTTGGGCTGTAAAACGCGTTCCTGACAACGCTCGTTTCGAAATATCGTTTGTGTCGGCGCGTAAAACGCTTCCGACGTTTATTGGCACGTCGCGGTTTCGCGTGCCCGCGTAAACGAGGATGTCGCTATCGGTTCTCGTCTCATGTATATCACTCAAGCGCTTTTATTCGCGGAATTGAGACAGTCTGTTGCGTTGCGGAACACGCTGAACAATTAATCGCGTCTCGCTCGTCACGCTCATCCGAAATTCTCGAATTACCTACGGTCAAGATTCTATTGCGCGCCATATGGTCGACTGAAATGATTTAAAATTAGTCCTTGACTAATTTACTACGCTCCGCCGTCGGATAATACATCCGGATGTAGCAGATCCCGTTGACTCTATTCGCGAACGCAGCTGGTAGCCGGCTACCAGTGCTGCTAACGATACGCTGGCGTACAAGGTGTTCCCGCAACGGTCATTGACGATTTGGGAACCTGTTTTAACGATAGCTAATATATTTATTTACAGATTCGACTTCGATTGCGCTTCAAGTGTTTGCTGAGCATTTAATTACACGTTACGACAGCTGTTGCAAATAACGCAGCAAGGGACTTACAGTACTTTTTAAATTATCCGATACATCGGACAAGATAACGAGAAAATTCGTCCATTGCGATGGTATAACGCTTAATTCGGTTACTTTCGATCGTCGAAATAACACGTGTAATCTGAATTGTATCGGACTGCGAGCGTACAGCATACCCAAGTAGAAGCTTGTTAGTAGCGGTGGCTAATTCCGATTAAGTTGTAATTACAGTAGTTACGGTGCGATCAGGGTTTCGCAATGGGTAGAAAGCGATTCGAACGATCGCTTTAGAAGCGTCGGATTTTTATTGCGTCGTCAAATCGTAATCCTCTAACCGACTTTTTAATAGATTTCGAGTTATTACTTGTTTCTTGCGTAAGCGATTAGTCGTTAATGGACAATGTTTGTGCCGTAGTTGATACACTGGTCATTTTTCGTGGAGTAGTGGCCATTAGACTGTAGGAATAGTTTAGAGGTTGGTTTTTTAATATTCAAATATTCAATATTTGTCATTAGACGACCATCAATTGGCAGTTTAAGTATTACGATAATTTATTCCGAATGACGAAGCGTCGCATTAGATTGCTCGTATATGAGAGCCGTTATTAAAAGCTTCTAGAAAAATTGTATGAATAATTTGAGGAGAGGAAGTGTCGCGTCGTCCCGGTGTTCATTTCGTTCCTGTGTAGTTCTTCCAAGAACTTGCCACACACCGAATTCTATAGATTTAGCGCGATGATTTACAACTCGTGCTATTAATCATCGCTAATCGCGCGAAAGTTTCGTTTCAGCAGGTCGTACTTTATGTTCGTCACATTTTTGGATAGTTTCGTTACGTTCTTCTAAACATGTTCGCTCGAAAGAGTTGACCAACTTAACGGTACGACGTCTTTATTTGTCTTTTCAGCTTTTTGGTTTTTTGCAAAGAAAGTATCGTTCGCCGTTTGTTCTATTTACCCTTGCGCACGCACATGCAACATCTGTGATGTTCGAATAGAGAAAAATCTTATTTTCGTCACGCCTTCTCCGTTCGTGTCGCGTGTAATTCATTTGATTGTACTTTGTTACGTGGAACTGAAGCACGATAGTATCGCATTTAATTACTACCGAATATGGAAGCACTCCACTTCGTTGAGTCGCGAGAAGAGAACGGATGCAAATGCGCACAAGAAAAGTTCATTTCAGTAGAAGATGCTTCCCGAATCGCGCTGCAAAATCTTATTGATAGTTAACAATAATTTCCTATAGTTAACAGAACGTTACTGTTGGCAAGTTTCCACTCGGACGTCGAACTCCGACGCGTTCGAGGCGATCGCAGAAAAAAAGAGAGCGGTGTTAGATGCAATTTACTTTCAATAACGGAAGCGATAGGATCACGCGTAACACTTCCATTATATAAATCAAGTTCTGTAATAATTACGCATCGCGTTCGTTGACAATCTATTCACCGATTATCGAAAGTGTCGGGTCGAATTAGGTATTCGCTTTAGGTCGATCGGTCCTAGTTCGCATCGAGATAGGAACGATGCCGATGATACCGTGTGTAAGCACTTTCACTCGACTGGAGAGCGTTATGATATGCTCGCTAAGAGAATAGCTTAATTATGCGGCTGTTCTAATTACAGCGTGTCCGATGGCAATTTATCTCGGTTTACTAACACCTTTTGAAAGTAAAAGCGCATTCAAGATCTTGTTGCTGCCGCGTTTCCATCCTGTTTATTCGAACGTGCTCTGTTTGTAATCATTGCGTGATACGCCGATTTTTTTGCTCCCGGAAATTCTCGATCATGCATCACTCGTCTGATTTGGTACCCACGCTGCTCCGATCGTTCGACAATCGTAACCGATTGTCGTATCTATTCCGTTGATCTGCGATTGTATCTCGTCTCCTGATATTCTCCAATTCTATTGTGTTTACTCGAATCTCACCACGCCTTCAGAGACAATAAAATATCCCACGACTTGGTTTTCCATAATCCAGCCGAAACGGTGGGAAAGGAATCCACTTGGAATGTTCAGTGGACCGATACCTACGACCTACCTTGACGATTCATTAATAATTCAATTGAGTTCGCGCCGCGATTCTCATCGCGCTTGTTGCGCTCTGAAGTTACACGGAAATCAAACGGAAGATAGGGGGCTTCCTGGATTGTTGGGTCGTTCGAACGAAGAAATGCCACGCTCCGAGGACTCGGCTGTTTTAGTTTCGGTGCTCTTCATTTCCCTACAGTCCATTAATAACGCGTGCGGCTGTTCATTAATCAGTCTCTCGATTTCATTCCAGCATACGCGTAGATGCGCTTCAG